TTCGTGAATTCCCAATGTCATCTTCGTGAATTCAAAGTTTTAACATTGTGACTTCATGTTTTCAACATACGAAATTCACGATTTTACGATTTCAACTTCATAATTTCACGATTTAACATTCACTTGAACTTCATGATTTAAGATTCACTAATTCACAATTTCAACTTCATGAGATGAATATTGAACTCTCAATTCAGGGAAACCGTTTTGTCTTTTGTGGCAGCAGATATTAGGAAATTCACGACCATTTGAATGAATTAATTACAAGTTGGTTCTACAAAGATTTATACCAGTTTATCTATATGATAGAAATGGAACAAAACAATACATATAACACGGAAATCGCAAATTTTGTTTCAAAAGTATAGTTACTTTCACAATAAAAATAAATAAATAAAGATTGATTAGTAGAAGCATGAATGTTTTAATTCCGCAACTGTTATTGCATTATGTAACTTAAAAACATAAAAATGGCTTTTGTTTAAATGCGTTTCAATAAAACATTATTAAACAACATTATTTTACAAATTGTCAAGGTATTCCGTAGTTCTTTAAACAGAACCGTAGCGATTTCAAGTGTGCTTGGCTATTGAAGTTGATCTCTGTCCCGACCATGCAGTTACTTCTGCTAGGAGCTGTACAAACATACCCCTACAGCTTACCCTTTGTGTCATTGAAGAGTACCTTTGAGAAAGGACATCTATATCATTGAGTTCACAAAGAAGTGGACATGCACTGTTCACACCATTGAATAGTTGTGGCTTATAGTACATCATATCGGGGGAAACGCCTGTTGGGCTTTCAATCTCAACTTGTCTTCGAATTCGGTGGTGATTCCACATTTCATCTACGTTATCAAGATCTTGCTGGATTAAAGAAAGAAATCAAAACCTGACACATTCAATATGGACGGGGTCACCATCATGCAAGTAGCCAGAATCGCGAAGACCTTAAAAAAAGTTTTTACAAAAGGTTGTAAAATTGTCTTCAAATACACCCCAAAATTTTTCAATACGCTGGTTTGAAGTTGATCGCCCATATAAGAAGCTTTTTCTTCCAGACGAACAATCGTCATTTGAAGATCTCGAACGACCGAATTTTCTGTGCCGTAATCCGCACGAACAACCATCTGCAGTTGATTTATTGTTTTAATGCATTCAATGTAATATCTTGCAAAAATCTTTGGATCGTTATTTGTGTATGCTGCTCTCAGCCACAGCACATTTCTTGAGTAACCATCAATAGCCCCATGTATTGATATCCCAAAAAATTTAAGCTTATCGTATCCGTCAATGTGAATAATAAAGTTAGGACCACGATTGACATATATTCGTCTGCGTAACCGACGCCTTAACCGTAAGTTGACACCAGCTGGGTCCATCGCCTTGACTATTTGTCTCACTGTGTCTTGAGTTGCAGCAACTTTACCTGATGACTGTAATACTCTCCAGATTGTACGGTAGCCCGAATTTGAGAAACCACAGTGGCAAAGTTGCCTAACTTCGTTTATAGCCCTCGGTAAAGGAGAGTACAAACCGTATCTTCTTAGTCCTAAGCGTTGAACGATCCGACGGATCTGTCGAAGAGTTATCATAATGTTGTGTGCACAGCAAATGAATCCACATATCTCTTTCCAGGTATATCCTAGCCGGAAGTAATAGGTCACGAGAGCATATCTTAATTTGTTTACTTTAAATCCAGGAAATACTGCTCCCACATCTTGATTTAAGAATAAAAATAACCAAATGTAGATCTATACCTGAAATTATATGAATTGTGAAAAAGAGTATAAATATCTAAAAATAAATTTTCCTATGCATAATAAAGGGAAACACAACAATTCAGATTTTTTTTTTACCCATCAGAATTTTCGACTTCGTTAATTTACTTTTCATAGAATAAAATTGAAAGATGCACTAATCGATTGGTAAATAATTAAAAGAACAAACGTGCAAGCTTTAGATAGTATAAAATATGTTCTTACCAGTAATTGTAAAACAGCCATAGGTCAGTGACAAGAAGAGAATGCGTATTGATCAGTAAGTGATATTGAAAATTAACACAGTCATGTTCGAATAGACACATAGAAATTCATTCACCTTTGCAGTTATATCAACATAAGGTATGTCAAGTTGCATGGATTGATGTTGAGAAAATATTAACATTTTATCGACAAAAAAAATATATCGATATAAATTAGATCGTCTTATGGAAAATGTAGACAAAAAAATGTGATGATGTCTGAACTGATGTCAGCAAGACGTAGAAAGTTTCAATGGCAAGACGCCTTATTTATTACGTTAAGCGACGACACAACACATCGTATCGCGTTAAAATAAGTCGACATGCACACATGCGTATTATCTCGAACACGGCATCTCGGGGGGTCAATTCAAGCTTCCATATATACACGCCAATTAAAACTTATTTAACACATGATATTGCACAGTTTACAATAGGGTGGGTTTTGGACTTGTTGTTTCTCCACATGATGGTTGTATGTGTGCTTAAGAAAAAGAAACACACGGTTAACACAGAAATGTGGAAAGTGTGATTTTACACCCCCCCCTCCACAAAAAAGCGAAGGATATGTTCAGTATGTGTGGACAATTTGACCCTATAAAATGGTTCTGTTAAATAAATGTTAAAGGTGCTCTGTCAATGTGCAACAGCTACACACGAAAGAAAGTATCTTGAATTCAATCCTTGCTTTCATCGGCAACCAATGAAAGTCGTGCAATGTAAGCCGAAATTTCGAGTTAGTAAGTCGAAATTTCGAGTTACTAACTCGAAATTTCGAGATAAGTATGTCGAAATTTCGAGTTAGTAAGTCGATATTTCGAGTTAATAAGTCGAAATCTCGAGTTAGTAAGTCGAAATTTCGAGTTAGTAACTCGAAATTTCGAGATAAGTAACTCGAAATTTCGACTTACTAACTCGAGATTTCGACTTATTAACTCGAAATTTCGACTTACTAACTCGAAATTTCGACTTACTTATCTCGAAATTTCGAGTTAGTAACTCGAAATTTCGACTTACTAACTCGAAATTTCGACTTACATTGCACGACTTTCATCGAGTTAATAAAAAACATACACCTGGCACTAATGCTCTTCCGTACCTTTGTGCCACCGTACCTTTCTGTTGAAAATGATATACATGCACAGTGCGTTAACTGGAGTGCAGGTATAAGTTACCCGCACTCCAGAGCATGCCCATTGATTGGCTCATGTTTGCTGGGGTTTACTTATTGTGACGGCAGAGAAAAAGAAAGCGACAGAAATATCATATTCAGATGCTCGTTCATTGGTTCCTTTTTCCTGGGGTTTCATATTGTGACAACAGGAAACGTGTTTTTATGTTTGACTATGATACAAAAAAAAAAGAACATCAAAACACTCGGCAATCTGATTAATACTCGTGGAAAAAGCGTTTAATTATAAAGAGGGCTAGAAAGTGATTATGAAGCGGGCTTATAATAAGTGATTATGAAGCGGGATAGAAAGCGAGTTAGAAAGCGATTATAAAGCGGCATTTAAGGAGCTAGAACGCGAGATAGAAAGTTATTATGAAGCGGTATTCAAAGCAATTATGAAATGAGACATAACGTATTTATGAAGCAAGACAGAAACTGATTAGGACGCGAACTAAAAACTAACTATGACGCAAACTTTGTAAACCAATTACGTGACTCTCCACGTTTTTTTTTGTGGTAACATATTTAAGAAATTTTACAATTTGTAGTTTTGATATATTTTTAATTGAAATGTAGGAACAAATTATTATTATGTAGTAGCAAATGATATGAAGAAATACTCTTTTTACGAATTAATTTTCCACTCAAATTATATATAAATTGTAAATATGTTAAAAGAGCCTAATCTAACATTGTTTTTATTACTAACAACATTTATTCATGTTTACATGCAAGGTGTGTAAACTACTTAACTTGAATTGACTTGTAAACCGATTATGAAGCGAACTAAAAACTGATAATGGCGCGAGATATAAACTGATTATGACGCGAGCTGTAAACTAATTATGATGCGAGCTGTAAACTAATTATGATGCGAGCTGTAAACTGATTATGAGCGAGCTGTAAACTGATTATGATGCGAGCTGTAAACTAATTATGATGCGAGCTGTAAACTGATTATGATGCGAGCTGTAAACTGATTATGAGCGAGCTGTAAACTGATTATGACGCGAGCTGTAAACTAATTATGATGCGAGCTGTAAACTAATTATGATGCGAGCTGTAAACTGATTATGATGCGAGCTGTAAACTGATTATGAGCGAGCTGTAAACTGATTATAATGCGAGCTGTAAACTAATTATGATGCGAGCTGTAAACTGATTATGATGCGAGCTGTAAACTGATTATGAGCGAGCTGTAAACTGATTATGACGCGAGCTGTAAACTGATTATAGCGCGAGGTATAAACTGATTATGACGCGAGCTGTAAACTGATAATGGTGCGAGCTGTAAACTGATTTTGACGCTAGCTGTAAATTGATTATGACGCGAGCTTTAAACTAATTATGACGAAAGCTGTAAACTGATTATGACGCGAGCTGTAAACTGATTGTGACGCGAGCTGTAAACTGATTGTGACGCGAGCCGTAAACTGATCTTGACGCGAGTTGTAAACTGATTGTGACAAGAGCTGTAATCCGACGCGAGCTTTAAACTGATTGTGACGCGAGCTGTAAATTGATTATGACGCGAGCTTTAAACTGATTGTGACGCGAGCTGTAAACTGATCATGACGCGAGCTGTAAACTGATTATGACGCGAGATTTAAAACGGATAATGATGCGACCTGTAAACTGATTTTGACGCGAGCTGTAAACTGATTATGATGCGATGTGTATACTGATTGTGACTGGAGCTGTAAACTAATTATGACGCGAGCTGTAAACTGATCATAGCGCGGGCTGTAGACTGATTTTGGCGCGATCTGTAAACTGCTTATTTTTTAAAATGACAATATTAAAATATAACGTTTTATTACCTCTTTAAGGTTGTATAAAAGATTAAAGAATGGCCAAACTGAACCATAGACTGGTCAGTTTAGGAGTGGTTTGTGCACTTGTTATTCTTGGACTTCTGATAGCTGTCATTGTTCTTGCTACACGGAAACGTGAAGGTCACCAGTTTTTCTATTACGTTAATTATACACTTGTAACGTTGTTTGTACTAAGTATGACATGTAGATGACATAGAATTTTTTTTTGTTATGATGACTTAACAAGCATTTTAAAAACCGGTTTTAATTAAAAGTGGTCAGTCGGTTAATATACTGTCTCTAATATTTTTTGCAAATAACTTATATGTTTCTTATAACAAATAAACAGTTAGTTTTTCATTTTCGTGTTTTTATGTTGCCAGTAGAATTTGCTTATAAGTTGGAATATTAGGATAAAAAAATATTTCTATCTTTTGGCCAGAAGAAATTACATGTCATTTGACGAAATTTGCTATAATTATGTGCATTACATTTTGCAGGTGCGAAAGAAGATAAACAACTTACGCCGCATGTGTCAGCTCTAAGTATTTTACAACAGTACAATGTGGACGATGGCTTGAATATAACATGGTATACCAACTCCACATCTATAGCACGTGAAGGTTGTATCTTGACTTAGTTTTAATATTCAATCAAGTACACGACATTTTACATCCGGTTTTGTATGTTATGTCTTTTTCTGGGATGCTAATGATTACAACTTTAAAGTGTTGTTATAATTTCAACCAATGGACTTGTTCATTTTGCAGGGGTCGCGGGAATGCTGAACGTTGAATTGACTAAAGAAGCAGGCAAATTCTACAGTAATGGTGGACAACTCGAATTGTCAAATATTCTTGACAATTTAAAACCAACAGACACCGGAATAAAAATCAAATTAGAAACAAAATTTCAAAATTCAACAATGGCATTAGAACTTGTTCGAGAACTACGGCGTCAGAAGGTGAAGAACCCTGTCATAATAACACTGCCAGTGTTTTCACAGACATTTAAGTGGCAACAGTAAGAATGATGTATAAATATTGCAGCTATATGTTACTTCAATAAAATTTTGATAAATAACACTTCTTTTGAAGTAAATACTATTTACAAAATGTAATAATATTTTCTTTACACTTCGCACGAGATTTTCGCGTTCAGATTTAACAACTGAAAGCTCATAGTTTTGGAGGCGTGCAGTAGTAATTTTTCACTGTTATAAAATTTTGTTTAAAATTTAACGTTTTTTCATATTCAGTTGGATGTGAGAGTTTTGTTTTAAATGCATGACTCATTTTTTAATTTTTTTATTTCCAGGTTTCTGTCCAGCGAAGAAGTTGACAACGATATCATGATAAGTTTTGATTTGACAGTTAAATGTTGTGATACCGGTATAGGACGTGGGACCGTGGAATATGTAGACATTTTGTGTAACCAGGCAGATGTTAAATGTTTTATTGAAGTTGATATCAGAAATCTCCTCAAATCATGGCAAGATATAAAATGGCTGCTCAATAGAAATCACAATGTGTTACTTATCATATCCGATACATCAGTCATCAACAATGAAAGTCTTTATGATTCACTTACTGTCAGGAATGATATAGATAAGAATAAAGTTTTATATAACTTTGGAGAAACATTAAAAAGAGAATTCCTACATGTTGCGTCAACTGCCGGAAGTCCGTTGCTTTATTTTGATATCAATCCGCGTGACGCAGGGAAAATAATTTGGAGCCACAATACAGACACATGGGAACAGATAAACAAGGCTACAAGTGGTAAAAAATTATTTATTATAACAGTGGCATACTATAATACGTCATTGAACGTTTTGATTTAAAATATGAGACATGTTGTATTTTTCTTTTTTCTTTAAATATTCACCTGAAACGAAATACAAAAACTTCGGTTGTCATACGACAGCTTCTTATAGAATAAAATAAAACCTTTGCATTGACGCAGTGACTGACTGGACTCTGTCGTTTTCAGAAATACAAATACAAGAAATTATAAATATCTAAAAATTACGGAATACCGTTAGGGCAATAGTGGTTATACTTTATAATCCAGAGGGCAGCAATACGTCAGTGCGATGACGACAATGCGATAGTGCGATGGCGACAGTGCGATAACGTGATGACGACAGTACGATAATGCGACAATGCAAAAGTGCGATGATTGACCATGCGATAATGCGACGACGACAGTGCGATAACGCGATGGCGACAGAGCGATAATGCAATGGCGATAAAACGATAGTGCGATAGTACTATCGCGTTGTCGCCATCGCGGTATCGTACTGTCGCCATCGCGTTATCGCGTTTTTGTGTCGGCATCACGTTATCGCACAGTCGCCATCGCGTAATCGCATTGTTGTCATTGCACTGTCGTATTGTAGTCATCGCACTGTCGCACTCTGGATTATATAGTGTTTTACATGATAAAATTTGGGCAAAATAATTTTACTTTATTTCTTTCTTCGTTTTTTGTTTCTTTTTCCCTTTTTGTACATTGTATACTGAAAAATGTCTAAATAAAACGTTTTTAGTATACAAAAAAGAAAAAGAAAGAAAAAGAAAACGAACCTCCCCCCCCAATACTATTTACAAAAGTAAAATTATTTTCCCATATTCTATATCGTCAGCTTATTCGTCGCCCAATCAGACCGGAAGGCGATAGTCGACAATGCGATAAGGCGATAGCGACAATACGATACTGCGATGCCGACAGTGCGATAACGCGATGACGACAGTGCGAAAATGCTATGATGACAATCGTGCGATAATAAGTGCGATAACGCGATGGCGAAAGTTTGATACCGCGATGGCGATAACGCGATAGTATTATCGCACTCTCGTATTGTCGGCATCGCATTATCGCTCTGTCGTCATCGCGTTATCGCACTGTCGCCATTTCATTATTGTATTGTCGCCATCGCACTATCGCATTTTCGCCATCGCACTATCGCATTGTCGTCATCGCCCTGTCGTATTGTCGTCATCGCACTATCGCCCTCTGGTTTATAAAGTGTAACCACGATGGTCGTAACAGTATTTTGTAAAAACTAGGCATGTTTTAGGTGAGGCAATGATGATTGAAGGGGACATAATGTTACTTGGACAAGATACGTCAAACCAGACAGAGTTACCTATCATGGCGCATACTGTCGGTGATTACAATAATATGACATTTGAACAATGGTTAGACGAAATTATAAAGGTCAGTTATATATCAATATTAAACAGCTTTTTCTTTAATAAATGTAAGAAAAATATTGATACGTGGTATGAATTAGCCTTGCAGTACAACAATATTTATATATGTATTGAACAAAAAGAGAAACTTTCGGTTTCTATACAACAACAAACGCTACACTCGATTTTCCGGTGTATGTACGAACACGTATAAAGTCATCGCACTATTATAGACTTTGGACGTTGGAAAAATAGAATTTTCTTAAGTTTTCTTTCTTTTTGATATGCCTAGAATTCTACCATATTTAAGTCAACGTTCCGTAGGAGTGCTAAATGCTGGTAGGGCGAGGAAAGAAGGTTAATTGCTATGGCTGTTTGCAGTTCAAGCTGACCTATTTCAAACCTTTAGGAAAAGGACATATGGAGAATTTACCACGTAGTGAACGTCCGCGCGTCGCCACACCTGGTCAAGACCCATGAGACCGCTATATCATAAACACACCTACGCAGTTATATTGCCACTGCTGTTAACATTCCTCGAACACGTCATAATCGAGTATCTTCCCGCACTGTACGCAATCGTCTACGCGAGGGTGGTCTACGAGCCATGGACACCGTTCTTAGGTTAGCCGTGTACTGATGCTATGTCAATTATTTGGCTCGCTGGATATGGAACAATGGAAAAGTGTTCTCTCTCCGACGAGTCGTCCCATTATACAGGGACGAACATTAACAAACCAACATAGCTAAGAAATGGACATACACCAAGAGTGACAATTAAATCATACATTTATAATCGGGAGTTAGTACTTGAAACTAGGATAGGATACATGTTTCAACAAAGTCTGTTCGCCATCCACTTTCGGTGATAGTGATTAAATGTTTGTTTTTATTGTAAATCAAATCTACTGATTAATAGTTAATAATACCATTAGATTTTTCCCGAAATTTTGGGTGTGTATATATCTTAATAAGTTGGCATTCTTTTAATACTTTTAAGGTTGACAAAGGAATGAAATTCGACTTCAAATCACTGGATGCTGTTAAACCAGCTTTAAGGATCGTTCAGCGAAAACGAGATAAAATCAAAGGTCCCATATGGTTAAATGCCGACATTCTGACTGGGCCAAACGCCACACATACACGAATACCTGCAGACGATTTTCTGGACGCCATCACACAATTTCCTGAAGCAACACTGTCCCTTGGTTGGACAACAGTTTCCAAAAGGACAAACTACAACCTTAAATATACGATGGCAATGGTTCAAGAAATGCAAAACATTTGTAAAACGTTGCAGCAGCCGATTACGTTTCCGGTCCGTGCAGAGCAACTTGTGGATTCTTGGGACGAATTTAATTGGTTATTAAAGCAGTCACGGCGTTACACACTGACAGTATGGACCTCCCACACTGACAATGTTACTAAAAGTGATATGAACTATATAAAACAACAAGCTGAAGCTTCTAGAGTTTACTTTGATTTACCAGAACAATTGAGACCAACTTTTTGATAAAATCTTTTCGGGTATGACAATGACATTTATATGATATTTTGTATTTAATATTTATAGTACCAGTAAATAGTTGTTTAGCTATACAAAACTATTTTATACATTTCAATTAAAGTAAGAACTATTCGTTTATTTCCTAAAAGAATGATATTGACGTGTCTAGCAAAAGTACAATCGGATTTGTTGGCAGGTTGCCATTATTTTTATAATCCCAGGTAACGTCTCAGGTGTTGAAAACGATTTTTATGAAAACAGTCTATTGACACAGTTGTCCGTTCATTTTGAATTAGTTCCACACTTATGATTGTACATGTGATAGAACATGAATTGATTATTTCAACATTATTGTATTTATCTATGTAACAAATTCAAATTAGCAAAACTGTACTACTCAGGTCTAATTTAGCATGTGATTTACTCAGGTCTAATTTAGCATGTGATTTTAAGACGCTAAAAAGTAATTGTTTATCTATCGCTTTTTTCTATTGCACAAAACCCATGGCATTTTCGTTGTGAAAAATGGACAGAATGTTCTTTGCTGTGGTTTCCGACATGTTTATTCTAGAATCCCATGTGTTACTTCCCATATGCGGAAGAACAATGCAGTTTGGATGATGAACAAGAGGGTGATCCGCCGGAAGTGGTTCTGGTTCCGTAACATCTAGACCTGCTGCAGCAATGTCGCCTGCAACCAATGCTTCAAGCAGATCATTGTGTTGTATAACTCCGCCTCTTCCACTATTCACTAATATAGCATTCTTTTTCATCTGTTTGAATGCTGATTTATTGAATTTGTGCTTTGTTTGGGGCGTAAGATTACAACAAATGCAAATAAGATCTGATTCACTCAAAAGTTTATCGAACTCTACGAAACTAGCACCAATGTCGGCTGCGTAACCGACTCTGCAAACATCATGATATAAAATTCGTTTAACCCCAAACGGTTTGAGTCGCCTTGCAACACCGTATCCAATGCGTCCAAGACCTAGAATCCCAACCGTCTTTTGTGCCATTTCCATACCACATAGCCACATGGGCTTCCATTTTCCCCACTGACCATCTTTGACCGCCTGTACACCTGTAGTAAAGCACCATCTAATGATTTAAGGTTAATAAACATATTAAAGAGGTGTGCTTATATCCAGAAGTTTGTCAACGGTTTGAAATCCCTCATGAAACAAAACATTATATACATGTGTTCTTATCCTTAGCTACATATATAAATGTACATTTGACATGTTTTGACATTAGAAATATGAACATAACTTACAATATTTATTTAACATATTTTTAACAGTTTTCTCTTATTTGCATATTACGTGTTTTATAAGATTATGTTCTTCTAATGTTATTCTGGTTTGCAGTTACAGAAGTGTCATTAAATTGTTGACCAAAAAAATCGACATAATTTAACATAACTTAATTACGACGTAGCTGCGTTGGCCGCATTGTGTTACCAGATAGTCTTATAATTTACCCAAGTTTGGATCTTATGCTTATACACTCACCAATGAGGTACCAAATATCATTAAAAATTACATTTAATAATAATTAACAGCTTTTACTGAACTGGTGCACATACTGTTTTCTCAAGTTTATTAAATATATCTCGGTATGTAACATACATAGACATAACATGAGAACAACTTCTTATAATAATACACGTAATCACAGAGGACAACTTTTATTTAAGATCTTGAAGGAATTTGTAGGAAAGGTAAAACAGATCTATTCCGTAATAAACTGTTTTCATACTCATAGATTTTAGTACTGCTTTCATAAAACACACAGACAGAAAACCCGTCACCCTATTTATTACCATATGAAGTGGTTGGCGAGTTTCTGATAAACTATAATTTCAATATAAAAATAAGAAGAATATACAGTAGGTTATTCAATAGGTTTTTGAAGAATACGACGAGCAGTCAATAGTCAGACATAGCAAGCAAGCCTGAATTACCTTCTAGTAACCGCCTTGCTGTAAGTAATAGTAATGCCACTGTCAGCTCGGCTACACTATCGGTTGACACATTTGGTGTGTTACATACACGTATATCTCGTTCACGACATGCATCTAGGTCTATATGCTCGTATCCCACAGACATCGTGGCAACAACCTGTAAACTACCTCCTGAAAATGGACACACGAAAATACAAAGAAAGGTGCCCTATTACAAATCTGTCGACGAAAAAAATCTTAACAAAATGTCTGATTGATATAATTTAATGTCTAGGTTATTAGAGGTCAAGGTCAGATTTCTATTTTTCAAACCAGAGGTATTTTTATTTACAAGGCGGGTCCTTTAAGAATGAAGATGTGCCGGCTTTTAAAATTATATTATCTATGACGATACTCGTGTAAGACACCTAGAGTTTGCCCCGGAAAACACATAAAACACTTATCCAGAAAGCTATAAAATCAATAACAAGAATTTGTAACAGAGTTACCAACGTCCCCTGCCTTGGGAAGTTTTATATGAAGCATAAAATTGTGCTATTTCAAAAGATTGAGGTCTGGATCTCAGGACATTCAGTCCAAAATTATTATCAATGCTAGATCTGCAAATGCAACAATAAATGTGTGCATGACATAACGTCTTATTATTGAGACTATTTGTGCCAAGGATTTTCAAAATCTCTTGAACTATGAAGAAGTTATACCTTGACCTTGGAGGTAGGGATGCAGGTGTTGCGCATTACACATCCTCTTATAATAGTGACTATTTGTGTGAAGTATTTTCAAAATCCTTTGATCTATGAAAAAGTTATGGACCGCACACAAAATATACCCTGTAACAGACTATGTAAGTATTTGACATCCAAGTGTGACCTTGACCTTGGAGGTAGGTGACCAGATTTTGTGCATGACACATCGTCTGATTATTGTGAACAATTATGGCAAGTATTTACAAAATCCCTTCATAGATAAAAAAGTTATGGACCGGACACGACATATACCCTCAAATAGACAATGTTGACCTTGAATGAGCAAGTGCGACCTTGACCCTGGAGGTAGGGGTCTGGTTTTGCGCATGACACATCGTCTTATTATAACAAACATTTGTGCCAAGTTATTTCAAATTCCTTTGATAAGTGACAAAGTTATGGACCGGACACGAAATATACCCTGTAACAGACTATGTTAATATTTGACCTCCAAGTGTGACCTTGACCTTGAAGGTAGGTGACTGGTTTTTGCGCATGACACATCGTCTGATTATTGTGAACAATTATGACAAGTATTTACAAAATCCCTTAATAGATAAAAAAGTTATGGACCGGACACGACATATACCTCAAATGACAATGTTGACCTTAATGACAATGCGACTTGATGAGGAGGGTGTTTGCGCATGAACATCGTCTATTATAACAACACCTTATAAGTGACAATATGACGGAACTCAATATGACAATGTTGACCTTGAATGACCTTGAATGAGCAAGTGAGACCTTGACCCTGGAGGTAGGGGTCTGGTTGTTGCGCATGACACATCGTCTTATTATAATAAACATATTATAATAAACATTTGTACAAAGTTATTTCAAATTCCTTTCATAAATGACAAAGTTATGGACCGGACACGAAAGTGTGACGGACGGACAGACGGACGGACGGAGCCTATTTCTATATCCCCCTTTTTTCTTCGAAAAAGCGGAGGACAATAAACATCTGATAAACATGTATATTTACAGGAAAGACAAAACTTAATTAATCGCTCAATGTTAAAACTTTGCAGAGATTAGCATTAGATATAGTTCAACACAGACATATGATGTCTTATAGTCCTTGTTCATCCCGTGAAATAGATTCCTAACCTGAATGTTCTCTATTTTTGATCTTAAGCTGAAACAGTGTCATGATTAGTAACATTATCATTCATCCATTATTAAATTGTATATACAAAGATCGATTTAGAATATAGAACATTTTTGTACCAACCTGCAGCATCTAGGACCTCTCCATCAATTATGTCTGTCAACATACAAAACAGACCGTGTACGCCTGATATCCTCACTATAAGCTCCTCTCTCGGAATCGCCTCATCACTATCCCAAAATGTTACGTCGCATCCGGCTTCTTCTAGAAGCTGGACACCCGTCTGTGGAACCCTTCGCGTAACGAATACTTTCCTCCTTATACCCATCAACAAAAATAAGTATTCTCCTGATATTGAAACTATTCACAACTGTGAAACTTTTCCTAAAACATCAAGCGCGTGAATACAAATCAGCTTACTCTACAAACTACAATTTTGTATATACGTAGATGTTTTAAACAGTCTGGTCTTCTCCTTCCCAATGATGAAACACCACGCGCGAATTTCCTAGACGTTCTCTCTTCTCAAAACGTCTGGAACTCCTTATAACAAACTATCTGCTGCAAGCATATTTCCACATTGCAAATTATCGACTGGTTCAATTAATCGGATTTTGGTAACATCCACGTATATGATGATCACAGAGGTTCAACAGTTTTTAAGGGAACGCAAACTTTGGTTATTTTCAAATTTCTCGCTAAATTGTAATATTACAAAAGTGTATAATTATGTAACAATTATATTTGTAACGAGTTCAAATTTTAATTTGTTAAGTTAAAACCTTAATTACGTTTGACATTAAATATGCATTGATAAATATAAATTCAATTACTAATTTCATTAGCATTTCATTAGAAATGTTATTAATAAGATAATTATCAGGATTTTCCTTAATCAGCTATATTTTGTGGTCAAATTATAATTCTCTTTAATTTTCTCTAGTAAATCATGATGTGAAATTCTTTGTACTTTAAAAGTTATATTTGTGTCCCTTGTTCCGACCATGGAAGTTGTATATAACGGCAAGGACATTTCGAAAATGTCATCACAAAGACATTCTCGTTCAAGGTGACTTTGTCGGCGATGTAATCGATTGATTTTGTCTAGCGGATTGTAAACGGTGAGAGTTATTTGAATTAGAAACACACGCACCCATTTAACATAGCTGTATTACATTGATTATTGGTCTGCATCTGTATTTTACTATCTCAATATTCTCTCATACGCTTACACACATTTAAATTCATATACTATGGATTCATTTTTGTTTTTTCTTTACATTTCGTTTATAAAAGATTAACACGCAATTCCATTAATATATTGAATAATTTATATGTCGTAATAATGTAATACATTCAAATAAATCTAGCATAAGACATTAAAGCACATTTATTCATACATGTAAGGATATACAAAAAAAGACAGTAATTGACAATACATATAGGCCTAATATTCACCCAGCAAGTCCTTTGCTTAAGTGAGAAATGCAAAAAACGATGACATTTAACATATAGTTTATTATATTGATAGTTCCAGTATAACGCATGTACGTAACACTGTACGTAACACCCGAACTACTTTAAAATGAAATATTTGAGATTATCAGTAAGGTATCGCATTCATAATAAGAAGAATAAAAATAGTAACATATAAAGCTGAAGATTTTATTCTGGTAGATAAGGAGCATGTGACGCCTTCATAACAAAACTGAGTCGTTGAAGGATCTATTTGAATCATTCCACCTGAAAACATAACACATACTGTATCAACACATAAATATGAGTGATTAGACAGCTTCAAATAAAATAATTATGTACTAAATAATAAAGTATCTATATACGCGGATATCATTTAAACATATTGTGTCTTTAAAAAATACAATAGCAGTATCATTGTTAAGTATACATGTTTAAACACAATGTGCCCTGTTAGCTAAAACGTAAAATTTCGCTCAATTTCACATAGTTGTTGACTTTACTGGTTTTCTTTGATTAGTAAAGATCGAAGGCGTGATCTAATAAACATAAAACACTTAATTTTGGCTACTAATTCTTCAGTGAATGTACACTACTCGAATTTTAATAAGCATATAAATACTGGTAGGTATCATCTTAGTAGCTAAAAGTAGGTAATCTCAAACCTTCAAGTGTAAAGAAGGTTGGACTACTCATTTGACCGTCCCCTCCAGCACTGACCCCCTGTACACGTAGTTGATATACCGTCTTTTTCTGAAGACCGTGCACGATCACGTTATTCTCTAGTAAATCTGATAATGTCTCATTAGCGTTACGTATATCTGATTGCACTTCCCACCATTTCACCTGACCAAATATATTAACATACATGTATTTACTATGCATTTTCTTGTTGTACAATTGAAAGTGAATGCCAAAATGTAAGTGTTACTGGTATAATTGTTAAAAATCACATATTATTTACAATAAAAGGTTAACACCACCTTCCACATAATCAAAGGAAGTGTACAGTACCAATTGCTATACACGTAATACACGAGTTGTTTCAATTTAGATTACTGATGAAAAAGTCGTTTAATGGTACTTTAAACAAGCACTTTTGTTATTGAATTACATGTAGCTAGTCCCGCATATTTTCTTATATCAATTATAAATATCAAAACACGATTTACGTATGCCAAAATTACTGGTTTCCGGGAGACATAACTTGAAATCACGTTTATTAAAGTCATTAAGTATGAGAATAGAACTAGAATATTAACCATAGAATTCGCATTCACGACTTCTAATTTTAATAATGACACTTGCAAACATCCGTAAACCTTTACAAGTGACGCATTTCAAGTTTAAATCTTATGCTTGTATACAAAGGTTCTTATGTCAGAATTGAATGCATCATTCAAGGTCTTTCAAATTTGAATTTATTCATAAGTGCAGAAATGTTCAAGTTAAATACTTAGTTAGATTCACCATTGCATCGGTTATATATCAAATAAACTACTCTAAACTGGTTACTTACTTACTTACAGATAAAATGTATTCTTTCGTTATTGCTGTTTGCCTTACGCAGAATGCGCATGCTACTTCCGTTTTTGTGGAAATATCGCATTGTAAAAAAGGTGTATAGGACGTGTTATATTTCTGACAGTCGAACGTATAGAGGTACGATACTTTTTAAGCGAGGTGAAATGGTACAATGCGGATTAATGGCGGAGGAACGACACAAATAACGTGGGTTAGAGTCGGTTTGTTTCAAATATTTGTTGTACTTTTTGTTCGAATAATAAGTGCATGCGGACCATATGATATAGTTATGTATAATGGTTAGTAAGGAGGAAGTTATTGAGGTATTTGTTACTTCAAATGCCACCGGCAACCTGACATGAATACAGTTACAGATGTATTGAAACAAATTTGATTAGATATATAGCACCAACGTGTTTACTATTAATAGCAAAACTAAATGCAAGAAAACATTTAATCAATTGCATGTATCTACATATTTTCGTATTTCTTACTGTACGTATGATAATTGGTCCGATAAATTAACTGTACGCAAACATTTTGTATTTTCACGATGAGTTTTCATGCATGACTGACTGATGCCTGTTACCTGTATGGTTAAAAGCAGTTTCATTTAATGAACAATTAACTATAGTATACTTATATGAGAATGCGACAATTGTTTTCTTTTCAGAAAAAATGTTGATGTTTGTGTGGAAAATAACTTAGTTCCAGACACAGCTTCATACTGAAGAGTGTGGAATATGTGTGACAACCCCTATTTAACGGAGGATCCGTTAGACAGAAACATGACAGTGCACCTAGGCCTTCTATATATAAGCCGCGTCATGACAAAACCAACATAATGGGTTTGCGACCAGCATGGATCCAGACCAGCCTGCGCATCCGCGCAGTCTGATCAGGATCCATGCTGTTTGCTTACAAACCCTAAAACAAGAAAAGAAACTGATAGCGAACAGCATGGATCCTGATCAGACTGCGCGGATGCGCAGGCTGGTCTGGATCCATGCTGGTCGCAAACCCATTATGTTGGTTTTGTCGTGACGCGGCTCATATGTGCCCTAATTAAGTCTTGTATGAGTATAGTCTTAATTAGGTCCGTATGTGTGTGGAAAATGGTGTATGATATTCACCAGGATATTTCGCCAGTTAAGCAGACATTGCGACAGAAAACCATAAGTATATGTTTTTATATTAAAACACCAACAAGAGGCTTTACATTTATTTAACTATTCAACAGTTATAAATTTTTAGTGAAATTAACATATATAGTATTAAAATTACAATATAAACGAAATAACAATTGGATTTGTAGCATCACGAAATTGTACATTCGAGCTGCAAACTATCTAAACGGATATACTTATTAAAGTCCCCTTTCAATTCACTCTTTTTTTTCTCTTTTTCTAGTGCTCTGACATTCTGAAATATTTTATTAAAGTAAGAACTTTTGCACTCCAATAAACTGCATAGAATTAGGAGTAATTTACTTCAGTTAAAAAGTAGAAAGGAGGGAAAATATAGGGTGAACGACAAAAATTCTAAGATCAAAAGGAAGATAATTCTTGAAATAAAGATGAGAACATTTTGTGAGTATTTACAAATAAAATCAAGGTAAATGACGTCAGCCACAAGAAGAAAGATTAAGAACACCGAAAATGTTTCAGCAAGATCCTAAGTCAATTAAAGAAGATTATTACTGGTATATAGTTTTAAAGAAGTTATTAGCACTGTCAAAATTATCGAACCCTTTGTAGCGTACAGTTATCTTATCGTACCGAAACCCACCGTAGGACAACAAGACGTCAATAAATATCTTTGCACAAAAATATTTTGTATCCAACACAATAATGGGTCCATGTAGAAATAGCAACTAACATTCACAATATGGGCTCTGAAATATGACTTTTTTCACCGACGCAAAATCAGTTACAGCATAACTTTTTCATTATTGAACCTTAACGCCTATGATTTCGAGATTTTTAGGTCAGAGCCCCAGATGATCCACACATGGTATGCTATTTAAATTGTAAATGACTCTAACAATTTTATAAAATATACTCACTCTGACGTGTGTTTACATGCTAAAGTCCGCCATTACTCCGCATGGAACCTTTTCACCTCGCTTAAAAACTATCGTACCTCTATACGTTCGACCCCTGTATTTAAGAAATTATGAATTCGTAAAAAAGCAAAATCTATTTTAATTTACTCAAATAGAAACTCCTTCAACCATTGGTCCATACAATAAATGTTTTAATGATTACCTTATAACCTGTAATTATCTCTTCATTAACTGACGTCATGACACCTTGCCAAGAAACGTGAACACTATGAGGTCCGTTAGATTTTACTGTCACAAAACGTGGATAATTTAACGGAGCTAAAACGAATAGAACACCTGATTACAATATGATACGAATATAAAAACATTTATATGCAATATGTATCATATAAACCCAATTTTATATGTTTTTAGTTGTTGTTTTTTTAGCTTCGAAATTAAAAACAATTAGCAAGATAATTAGGAAAAAGATAACATAATATGATTAAATTTTAGTCAAGGGACTTGCAAGCATCTTTCAAAAACCTTTTTTGATAGTTCCATACATATATATGAGTAATAAGTGCTGTTAAATCAATGTAATAAGTACTAATCAACCTATGTAGTAAATATTACTCGTAATAAACCATTGTAATAAGTACTAAGGACTTATGTAATAAGTGCTAATAAACCAATGTAATATATACAAATGAACTTATTAACCAATGTAATAAGTATTAATAACCTATGTAATAAGTATAAATAAACCAATGTAATGAGTACTAATAAATAGAGGATATTTGTTTAGTTCAGTATAAGATCGGAATATATTTCACCGAGTAGTGAGCACCAAAAGGTATATTTCACGAGTGGCGCAGCCACGAGTGAAATATGAACTTTTGGTGTTCACAAGGTGAAATATATTTGATCTTATACTAAACTAAACAAGTTTTCTTTTATTACATGCAAAGAAACCTTTTAAAACGACATTAATCCTAACACTGAATGAAAAGCGCGCCAAATGATAATATAACGTGACGTCATTTACGACGTGGTACCCAGTTCTGTGCACGCTGGTGTTTCACTGAAACAACGTAAGGGGCTTAAATTCAAAACAGTGCAATTATCAAAGTGGTAATTTCACTGTTTCAAACAGTGAAATTACCAGTTTTATATCACTGATATATTTCTATAAACCACCGAAAAGCATGTAATAAACCTTTTTAAGAAGTATAAAAAAAACACAATGTAATTAGTACTAAAAATTAAAAGTACTAATAAACCTATGTAATAAGTACACATAAATCAATTTAATAACTACAAATAGATCAATGTAATAAAAATGTAGAACCACACTTACCCCATGTTGCAGTTTCACCACGTCTCCATTCTCCTTTAGGTCCTCTCCCAGCCGAGTTAAACACTTGAAGTCGAAAAAAGAACTCCGAGTTCATTTCAAGATCAATTAACATAACTTCGTTAGCCTGACCCCAAATATTTCTGTTCCTAAGGTTTGTTACTTCACAGCCAGTCATAGGATTACATCCTTGATCATTCCAGTAATACTGTATCTAAAACATAGTCGTAAATCCTTGATCATTCCAGTAATACTAAATCTAAACCATATTCGAAAATCCTTGATGATTCCAGTAATACTAAATCTTAAACATAGGGCTAAATCCTTAATGATTCCAGTAATACTAAATCCTTAATGATTCCAGTAATACTAAATCTTAAACATAGGGCTAAATCCTTGATCATTCCACTAATTCTGTATGTAAAACATAGGGTTTCAACATTTGTTATTCAAATATATAAAAGTACATACTGTGTATCCTCCGACTCGTCCTTTCATATGTTCCCTATCGTCTGGTATAGGGTCCCAGTAAACTATGATAGTTGATATATTTACACCGCTTGATCCTGTTATCATTGGTACGATAGATGGAACTGTTGATATAAACAAATAAAACAAGAGTTCATCATATATTAGGTGAGTTACAGATTAAACTTTCATTCAGAACTTCTTTAATATTTAGGTAGATATATACATGTATAATACATCGTTTGCCAATCAATATTAATTTAGTATTTAGTAAGTATTAACATACAAGTTTAAAATGTCGATAAATCGTTATTTTTAATTCGACACGAATTTTTTTTATAACATAAACGTGTTATGTTGCATCATGATGAAGTCATTGTTGAAAACATCATTCTATATTGTTAATAAAGCTAGTTAGAATCATAGATCTTATATGAAAATGACAAATATTCTTACTTCCCATTGCAGAATAAACAACTTGAACGGATGTATTTGGTCCGTATCCAATGTCGTTATAAGCTTGAACTTTCACTTCATATGGGAGGTAGTAATTCTCGACACCAACCAAAACTGTATAACCATCCTTATTTCCAATTATTTCCCCCTTAAATATTCAATATAACATATAGATACATAAGTACGTATTTGTGTATTTATGATTGTTTTCTTTTGTATACAGGTAATGCCAGAAATTGTAGTAAAATATCAATATTTATAAGTTTCGTAATTGTTTGATGGTTCGACAGTTGTATTTCAAACGGGAAAGGTAGTTTAGGTAACTTTTTGATAATATTAAGAAAATTGTAATTCATATCTTTACATATGAAAAAATTATAGTGTTATATATGAAACTTTAGTTGTTGTTTTTTCATTTGATAATAAGATAACATTTAGACAGTACATGTATTTTAGACAAACTCACTTTTCGCCAACTTTGTCTTTGTTCCTCTTGAGGTTTCCAGTATACTATATATCCTATACCTGGTCCACATTGTTCCGGTGGTGGTAAAGGCTAAATAGAGAGCTTACATATCTCAAGGTTCGTGCCAATGTCAACCAATATAACAACAGTAATAACTTATATAATGATGAATCATTTAACGACCGATAATTTCTCAATTCTGAAGATGTTTTTAATGCAAAAAGAGCAAAAAGTGTAATAAACAACGAAAATAAGTTCATATTTGTAAAAAAAATCACTGACTTTAGTTTGTAAGAAAAGTCCGTTGTATCATTTATAATCTGCATTTACAATTATATAAATAGGAAATAATCATAACAGTATTTTTGTAGGAATGAATATTAAACAGGTGATAGAAAATTACCGTCCATGATATATTAAGCGTTCCCTCTGACCCGTCACCTCCTCCGAGATTCTCAGGTGCTTTGTATGGCGCTGTAGCTGGTGTTTTAACCCTTACTGAAACATGGTATGAATCTAACACTTACAAAACACATGATATCAACATAAATTAATATTATCTTCATAATGCCTTCCATATTCGCCGTTTCTGTCAATGTGGATTTACTAAAAATCTACTTTAAAAATGATTTCGTGGATAAAACAACAGTAACAAGAGGGGCATGATGGCCCTAGATCGCTCACCTGACTTATCAAACTCATCCAAACAATTACCAAGACAAGCATTCTGACCAAGTCTCATGACAGGTGAGTCAAAAATGTGACCACTACAGTGTTAACAAGGATTATCCATATTTGAGCAGTGCGACCTAGTTTTTTTACCCAGGTGACACATATTCAAACTTGACCTAGAAATCATCAAAACAAACTTTCAGACCAATTTCCAGGATACTTGGATCAAAACAGTAGCAACTAGAGTGTTAACAAGATTTTTCTATTTTTAGCTCCGGTGACCTAGTTCCACATGCGATTTCGAACTCATCAAAGCAATTACCTAGACAAGCATCCTGACCAAGTTTGATGATAATTGAGTCGAAAATGTGACCACTAGAATGTTAACAAGGTTTTTCCATATTTGGGCGGTGTGACCTAGTTTTTCATCCAAGATGACCCATGTTCGAACTTGACTTAGAAATCATCAAAACAAACTTTCAGACCAATTAACAGAATATTTGGATCACAACAGTAGCCACTAGAGTGTTAACAAGATTTTTCTATTTTTAGCTCCGGTGACCTACTTTTTTTATCCGAGATGACCCATGTTCAATTTATTCCCAGCAATGACCTAGACAAGTTTCCTGACCAAGTTTGATGACAATTGAGTCAAAATTGTGACCACTAGAGTGTTAACAAGGTTTTTCTATTTTTAGCTCCTGTGACCTAGTTTTTCATCCGAGATGACCCATGTTCGAACTCATCCGAGCTATCACCTAGACAAGCTCCTGACCAAGTTTGATGATGATTGAGGCAAAATTGTGACCTCTAGAGTGTTAACATGGTTTTTCTATTATTAGCTCCTGTGACCTAGTTTTTTATCCTAGATGACCCATGTTCGAACTCACCCGAGCTATCACCTAGACAAGCATCTTGACAAAGTTTGATGATGACTGATGCAAAAATGTGACCGCTAGAGTGTTAACAAGGTTTTTCTATTTTTAGCTCCGGTGACCTACTTTTTCATCCGAGATGACCCATGTTCGAACTCATCCGAGCTATCACCTAGACAAGCATCTTGACCAAGTTTGATGATGATTGGTTCAAAAATGTGACCGCTAGAGTGTTAACAAGGTTTTTCTATTTTTAGCTCCGGTGACCTACTTTTTCATCCGAGATGACCCATGTTCGAACTCATCCGAGCTACCAACTAGAGAAGCATCCTGACCAAGTTTGATGATGATTGGTTCAAAAATGTGACCACTAGAGTGTTCACAAGGTTTTTCTATTTTTTAGCTCCTGTGACCTAGTTTTTCATCAGAGAGATGACCCATGTTCGAACTCATCCAAGCAATTGACTAGACAAGCATTCTGACCAAGTTTGATGATGATTGGTTCAAAAATGTGACCGCTAGAGTGTTCACAAGGTTTTTCTATTTATAGCTCCTGTGACCTAGATTTTCATCGGAGATGACCCATGTTCGAACTCATCCAAGCAATTGACTAAACAAGCATCCTGACAAAGTTTGATGATGATTGGTTAAAAAATGTGACCACTAGAGTGTTCACAAGCAATTGTGGGCGTACGACGGACATTCACCGATCCTAATAGCTCACCCTGAGCAAGCTCAGGTGAGCTAATAAAAAATTAAGTGTTAAATAGGTACTAAATTCTCATAGTATCTCATGTTTTAAAAGACAAACATCAATATATCCTTTCATGATATTTATACAGCTTCTATTTTCTATCCTCACCTGCAAATTTAGGAATGTTCATTTCATAATGTAAGGCAGCACCTTTTTGATGCAATTGATGCAACAATCTTTACTTAAAATATTATATTTTAAGGTAGACCATGGGTAATTGGCACCATAAAGAACTGTAAAATTGACAACATAGGACAGTTATATGTCTTCAAGGTCACCTGTATGCAAAATTTAAATAAAATTTACCGTGTGGTTTATGAGTTATGGATATATTTCTGAACTAAGACCTTGCCATTTGAAGGGCTTATTTTCAGAAATGAGGAAACTGTAAATAATCTGTAATATCATCATTATAAAAAATGTTTTTCTATTGCTCATTGTTAAGAAAAAAATAATAACATTCAGGTAATACATTACACAAACAAAATGTTTGGTTCTAAACAAAATGTTCTTAATATGTATAAAAATGTAACCCTACCCACCCACTTTTAACACGCATTTTACCATTTCCCTATCTAAAATGCCTTATTCAAAATAATTTCAAACTTTGCCTAAATTTTTTCAAAGGTATATAAGTTGATCATGCGAAATATAAAATATTTTTACCGTGTAGTTTTTATTTTATCGAACTTTGAAAATATCTGGTATCATATTTGTTATAAATTTTAGCATTATTTAACAAAAAAAAAATACCTAAAATAATTATATAAATAAAATCAAACTTTTTTTCTTCCATAAGGGATCAGAGAGATACATAAATAATGTTAAAAAGAAAAAAAGAAAGAAAAAAAAGTTGCCCCTTCGCCCCTCAATTTCAATGTAGTTTACAAGCGATTCTAGCCTATTTGAATACTCTTCAAAGTGGAGGTAATGCATTACCCATGGTCTACCTTAAAGCTGTGATTGTTTAAATATCAGTGTATAAAATAAACGGACCTGATTGTCTACTAGCATCTGGCCCTCTACCATACTGATTTACTGCTCGTACTCTAAACCTATAGCTGGTGTTTGGTACTAAATTCTGTACAACTACAGCTCGTTGATCTGCCCTATGTCCATTATCTGTTGCTAACTGAACTGCCTGAAACTCAGGGATATCTGTAACAAATGTTATCCCTATATTATTAACGATGTTGGTTGTCTTCATCGGTTGTTTTTATTTGTTTGGGTCGTCAGACCAAACAAATAATGGTAGCGAAATTTCAGACCCTAATGCTGTTAATTGCAAATGCCGAAGTAGTTACTTCCCTTTATATGTACACTAATGCCGAAAAATTCAGGGAAGATCACTGCGTAAAGATTGTCAAATTTGACAGGCGCATTAATTTTCAAGCAAAATAGTTCCCGAATGGTCGAAGATTTCTATTTATAGATATACATGCTTATAGTAAGCTCCGTGATTATTTACATCTGTTTTAGCGTCGAAATAATAAGAGTTACAAACCCTAATTTAGAATAATATGGTTTTCTTCAGGCCGTTAACATATAACTTCACCGTGACCGAGGGGTTTGCACGCTCGCTTAGGAATCGAAAGGTCTGGAGTTCAAATCCCAGTTGAGGCAACTCATTTGTTTTTAATTTTTTTAAGTCAAATAAACATTGAATTGAATATCAGTGTTGCAACTAGTCTTATAGCCAATTTACTACAGTTAAAACACTGGAAAGCATTGGTGGCACTATACGAAAACAAACTGGTTTATAATCTCACAACCTTTACCTTACCAAAACAAATTCAGCGCCTTCTGTGCTTTGATTTTTTAGAGCAAATCAATCTGTTTTTGGTCATTGTTTGTCAATTGATCTATTTGTATCAAAATTTACTTTAAACTTTATTAAAATCAAGATGTGTAACCCGCCTCTCTAACGTTACCCCGACTTTTCTACGAATTTGGTTTGCATATGTTAGTAAAAAACATCACTAGAAAAAACTGTCAAACATCATCAGATGCAACTCTTACCTGATGCAACTATTGTCCAGTTGCCCGGATCAAAATTAGTATCCGCTTCAACGTCAAAGCCTGTAACAGGTGCACCGTGGTCACTTTCTACTCCCCATGTCCATACAACACGCACTGTGTATGACGTCACAGAGTCGCTGTCTACGTACACACCTGCAGGTTCACCTGGTGGTCCTGTAAAGATAAGCAATTAATTAAATAACCCACGAGTGCTAAAGTATTTTGACTCATATTCCATTCAAATATTTGTCTTTTTGAAAAAAATAATTTTTATTTCATGTAAATGTACTCAATTAAAAAATATGTTAAATATTCATTGATGGTATTTTATTTACAATATGAAATTTCTATGAACATTTAGTTTGAGTGTTTTTTGTTTTTGTTTAAAGAAATTCCCATTTTTAGATATTATGGTCCCGTAATATTCTTTGAAAGGAAAAAGCTATATAGGTTATTCAAGACCATACTATATATCTGGAATATGTACAAATGTATCATTTAACAGCCACCCTTAATTTTATTATAAATACTTCGACTCATATAAATTATGTAAATATAAAAAACATTTTATTATGCAGTGTAAAATATTTGAAAGTATAGAGGTACAAATAGAGGAGTTCTCAACAACAACAACAACAACAACAACAACATAAAGACAAGGATGGTGTTGATAAACGTACCATTTACTGTGACAACTGCTGACTGGATATCAGAATGTAATGGTGTTCTAACAACACACGAATAAACACCTCCATTACTGTACTGTGCCTCTCTTATGTATAGACCGCTTAAACCATTCTTGTTTCCCTAGAAACAACAACAACACCAACTTCTTTCAACTTGTTTCGATCACGAATGATTCTACACATACCTATCATTAAAATTATCATACATTCGTAAAGACTGGTGAAATTTAACATATCTTATATTTTGTATATTTTGTATTGTGTGTATTTTTATCAAGTTATCAATATTCTAAAATGTACTGCAGTAGATAAAATAAAAATTACAAAAAGTCAACGGTACACACAAAGTTGAAAACAACGAACATAATTATTAAGTTGTCATATAAAAAAGCAGCTTTTATGAATGACATGCTTAAACATAAATAACATATGTTACCTGTATCAGATGTGGATTATTGTTAAATCTTATAGGATGACCATTAAACAGCCACTGATATGTCACATCGAGATACTTGCCAGGATGTGACGCATCACAATATAGAAAGTCCGTCTTGTTAACCACAATAGACATTGGCAACGGCGGCTTATCTATAACCACGCCCTCTGAACATAATACAATATGTTGTCAACATGTTTTGGTTTATGTATAAGATATTTTTTTCAATAGTTTAAGATAACAGAAACAAGAAAGTATGAATTTCTATATTTGCATACAGAACACCTCACCGATTACCAACACTCATCTAGGAAACTGGAAGATACATTTATATTGTAAAATACATTGTATTGTATTGCATAATTTTTAACATGTGTATTAATTTAAAATGCCCGTATTTTCCGCCATCTTTCACCAGTTCACGGTCAAACGCTTACTCTTGAGATTGTTGTTGACATGAATTTTATTTATGGAGGGCATTATGATAATTTAAAATAATAAAAACAAACATAAATCATGGCAATAACTTACGGACAACGGTCAGGTATGAGGAATTTGTCGCTTCTCCATTTATATTAGACGCCTTGCAAATGTATGTTCCTTGATCACTCATCTGTACCCTGGTAATGACAAGGTCATTTCTTAAAGTCATACCGATTCTGTCCGTCAGCATCCCGGGCACAACATTCAAAGGTCCACCATTCTTTAACCACTGTATCTACAATGTTTGTATGAAGTTTATCAGATCACGTTTATATTTCTGCCTTAATTGTTTTAAAATACATGTAGATACAACTCGGGCATAGGCTTCATAACCGGGATTTTGTCTTCAATAACTTTAACTTTTGGGCCTTTCTATGCATAAATAAAATTTCTATAAAATTAATTGTGTCGGTTTTGTTATGCTATGGTCATGACATATTGATAACAAACTATAGCATACATGTACTTACATCGGGAATAGGCGCGCCTTCAGCACTACATGGTATCGTTATGTTTCCATCAACTGGTGCCATAAATGCATCCTTCATCGGGAATCGGTCAAAATTTGGTTTGAATGCTGAAAAAAACTGCATGCTTATAGTTAATTGCATCATAGAAATGATATATATGTACATTTGTATAACCAACATTCACTTATGTGTAACTTGGTACAGGGTCTTTCAAATAGTTCTATTTGAAAGACCCTGCTTGGAATAAGAACAACTATGCATGAATGTGCACATTATACCAAATACCGTAACCGACCATATAAAAGAACATTCGAAACAATTCAACTTACATAAAACTTTAAGTTCACCAGAGCTGAAAGTAGTTCCATGTTGATTTGTTGCGGAACATTGGTACATGCCTTCATCATTATCAGCCTCGATCTGATATATCGTCAGAGAATTACCGTTAACCTCTATCTTTCCTACAAATTACCACTTATTTATAACAGACATCATTGTATAAGTTATAGTTTATATATTAGAATTATTATTTTGGAGACTTTGCATTTAACGATACTTGAGAAAATAGCTATTATTTCAGTCCTAATAAAGTATATAGCGGACACCGCAAGATGCATTACATGAAACTGTAATATAAATGTATGTCGTTTTTCGTATGTATGCTAAAGTGATGTTAAATTACAACATACAATGTCAAATTTTTAACAGATAACGTAAAATGATGAAGAATTTTCAAATTTTAATACCGGGATTATTTTCGATCAATTGTCCGTTTTTGTACCAGGAGTATGTGGCTAATGGTCGCGCAATAGATTTACATCTCCAGACTATAGCTTGACCAGGATCAACAAACATATTCCCTATAGCATTGGCAAAGTATGGTTTTGCTGTAAAATATAAATTTATAGTAATTTTGAAATTATGGGTTTTATTGTTAAAATGCTTTTAATAATCATGAGTTTACTTAAAATAAATGACTAAATGAATAAATAACAGGTATTGTTGTTTTGTAGAAAGATACAATAAGATATATTTGTTAAAACAATAGGTGTTATTTGCTATACAATTATTGGCGACGTCGATGAGCGACGTCGTCTCTTATGGAATGCTTATTATTTTGGCCAATGGTAGTAGCTGTTATTATTAGCTGTCAATTTCATGTTGTGTTAATTAGTTTTATTTTGATTCGTAAAAATCAAGAAACAATTTTGTTGTTATATTTGTATTTAATAACTTTATGTAAAAAGCATGTGCATTGTGACATTATTTACATTATGATGTTTGGGTAATAGTTAGTCTCTGCAGGGTCGGCTTAAATGTGTAAAATTTTGGTACTACTGGACGCGCAGCATTGCAAACTGGACAATGGCTACACAAGATTTACCGTCGAAATTACAGGCGTCTCGAAACTGTGGCTATTACCCAAACAATATATCACGTGACTATACATATCGATTTAGCGTCAGAAATGTATGATATAATAACAGGAGAAACCTGGTTCTGTAGCAACATTATACAATAATGAAGACAATCATCATCAGACCAACATGTATGATAAGATTGTAATTGTATTGATGAGTCTACTGCGATTCACCACTTTAAATATATTCATAAACTGATTATGATATTCAGTCATTGTTTGGTTATTATACATATAATCATAACTTGTAACAAGAAAGAAATGAAAAGGGAACATACTTTCCAGAAGTAACGTTATAACTTTTGATTTGACGGCCCCTGGTCGCGAGGATGAAGCCGGTCTAGTCACTGTACATATATAGTTCCCCTCAGCTTCCATCGGGGCGTGAGGTATTGTCAAAACACGATTTCTGTCACTGAAAGATGTTCCCTTGATAAACGGCTGTCCATTCTGACGATGCCATTTATACTTGAGGTTTTGTGGGGATCTTTAAAATATAGATGAAAGTACCGGACATCTATTTGTTGTTTTTTTCTGTTCCCGCATCTTGTTAAATTTGTAAAAAAATGAATTTCTAGGGAACCATATAGATATTTTCATATGTCAAAATGAATCGGGTATAGAAATGACAGAATAAATGAAAATAAACATGGCAATGTAAATATCTTTTTAGAACGACTTCCCTTACAACAATTTGAATATTTAATCTCTGAACACGTGTAAGCACACAAATGCAAAATGGATGTAGAATTATTTTTTGGATTAGCTAAGATTTGTAAAAAGGATGAACCACCCTCCCCCAACAACAGCAGTAAATTTATAATTCACTTGAAACATACATGAGTAAAAAGGTAAAAATACGTACGATGCGTAAGCGACACATTCTAAGCGTATCAGGCTGCCCCTCAAAGCAGGTGACGGGAATGCATGGGTGTGAATTATAGGTCCATAGTTGTTGTCAGTTTCTAAAAATAGATACCATCAGCTTACGTTATGTCTGATAGGAAAGAAACTTAAGACTTTGAGAAATGTTGCCATAAACTGGCATAGTTCTTATATTCCTCACCCCTAATGATATGTGTTAAAGCGCTTACAAAAAAAAAAAAAAACACCCAAAAAACTCCAAACGAAGCTTTTATAAAACAGGTTGATATGCAGCACGTTTTGTATATATATGATATACATTAATCTTATAACAATAAACAATATATGTTTCGTACCATTACCCAAATAAAATTTAAAATTTCAATTGTTGTCATGTCAAAATTGAGGCAAAATGCCGGGTGTGCTTAACTTATTTTCAGGTGTAACAAGGTGTCATAAGAAAATCATACTTCCATCTCGAATGATAAGTTTCGTTCCTAGACCGACCCTGCTTGGTGCCATTGACGTGTCAGCCACGAAGTCTGTTGGAGCCACTAATGTAACTACACAATAGTAGGTACGATCGTCCGTGTACTGTACCTCAGAAAAATACAGGTAGCCGGACTGAGATATGAAATGTACAGGATGTCCAGGAAATATGTAATTATGGGTGTTATGATTCTTGAACCAACCATATCTTACAGCTGTAACAAACATATAATCAATGTATAACATAAAGGTAATAGAAAGTGATTTTATGTTTAGTTTACATCAGGAAATTATATGACTTGGAACACTATTTTCGTGGGTATCTAAACATTTTGTACACCACAAACTTTACGAATATAAATGAACATGACTATAATATATATATTTATTATGAACCACGTATACTTTTACAAACGGTATTTGTTGTGTATTGTATGTATATTGTTGGGGCAACTGAAAATGAGATCATTTAAGTTGTCAAAAATGAGAGGACGTCTCTATCATCGAAAATAGCTTACCTGGTTTGTACGCGGGGGTGTTACAGCTCACCCGAACCCCTTCAAATGCTGTCCCGATCTGATCATTAGGCTTCACAGGCGAGAAGGCATGTAAATCTTAGAACATAACGTATACTTATTCAATTATTGTGATTATCAAATTTAATTTAAGGAAAAAGACGCATTCTAAGTATATATTCTCCTTAAATGACTTTATATAGAATAAGAATGGTAAATACATTTTCGTCACTTTAACCAAAATATAACAAAACAATGACGTCCTTTTCTCTTTTTATGGGCTATCGTTTAATTTTGTATTATAAAAGTTTCTTTTACATTGCTACAGATTAAGCAGTAATGTTTCAAATATGACTGACGAACAAAAATCTCAATCTATATACAACATATAGTAAATATTGTGTTTTTCCTGATGCTACGCATCAATTCAATACAGCATAACAATATAATATTAGATCTCACTTACATCCAAATGTAATTTGAGCAATAGAGCTGAGGATTTTTCCAATATCATTTTCAGCACTACATTGATAATAACCGGCGTCTTCTTCTTCGTTTGGCGTGGCTATTGTTAGACGACCTCCACTTAATGTATATCTGATATGAATAAAAGTATAGAGTCTAAGCTTGATGTTAAAATATGTTTATTCTTGACCACTTTCGGGTTCGTTTTGAAGAACTCGAGCGAATCGCCATTGCTGTGATGACACTTCGTTAAAACAATATTTGCTTTACAACTGCGGAATGAAAGATTCCGTTACTTCTTTGAAATATTTTTATTCTTGATCTTGAGGGTATATCACTATCAAAAAAGTTTGCAATTCTTAATTAATTGATTTATTCAATAAAAAATTAGTAATGAATTGTAAACATTCGAAAAATGTGAGACTTGAATTCAAATACATGTATGCTCCGAGTAAATAGAAAAAAAGGACGACAACTGATGATATGATCAACTTTAAAGGGACTTCACTGAGTTTTTTTAACGGGACTGAAGTAATTTTTCGAGGTTTAAAGCTCCTGAGTTCAACATCTTAAGCTCACTACGTTTTTCCAAAATAATTGTTCTAATTATGAAAAATGACCAAAAAAAATGAAAAAGCGTTGTAAAGTTTTTTAACTTAAATTGGGCTAAGAACAGCACAAAAATACGAATTTCAATTTATTTCTGGTTATATTTCTTAAGCATCTTAGACACATCTGTCTGCTTTCAGTGCCTCAGGAGATCTTTGTAAGAGATTCAAATTTTTATGTTTAAAGCATTTGGACCTCTGTTGAGTTGCTTTAAGGTATTATATAATACACCTTATAGAGGATGTAATCACGGAATCTTGCCCTTGTCGTTTCCAGCTATATGAAGACTGAGGCCTGCTGGACGCTGAACACTCTATGAATACAGTGATGCCGCCGTCCCCGAGTATGAGCACATTTTTAGGTTCTGTTATCATCTGAGGACCATGGGGTAAACTTGTTTTGTCAGCAAACCCAAGACCATAATCTGTGTCAATATATTCAAATTTATTGCCGTGTTAATATTATTCCTATGTAATAAGATGCACAATCTTTTTATTACTTTGTTCATTGAGACTGTGAAAATGTAGAAGTTTATTTAGAAATAACAGTGTCTTTCAAACTATTTTGAAAGACCCTGGAAATAATAAGGTCGTTTTAAGAGGCAAAATATTTAGTTGTTTAAGACCTGTAACCGGAGTTGTTCATGTAAAAAAACCACACCATACCATAGTCTCTATCCCGCACACTATTTAACTTGACATCCGACTTTGATACTTCACATATATAGTTGGCAGGACGACTTCCAGACACAAGTGACCAGCCGTAACCTTTGCTGTGATCTACGAAAAAAAAGAAGTTCTCAAACATTATGAATAAAAAACAAGTATATAAACAATGCAGACAGTTTAATTCAATATTTATATAAAATAACTATATATAGATCTTAAGCTTTATAAAAAAAATATTCAAAGTTGTAAGCATTACGTTAAGTACAAATAAATAAATAAATACGAGATTTGCGTCCATTATTCCTTACAGTGAAAACATAAATATGTTAATTGATATAGAAATAAGGGTATAAATAGTGCGAAAATTTAGTTATTTAAGACCTGTATCCGTAGAATATTAATGTAAACAGATAGAACCTTCTAGAGCAGAAACTGATTAGTCTTTATCATCAGTATTGAGTCAGCCAATTTTTGTATTTTGAAATGTCTGAAACCTTTAATGGATTGCTGTAAATTCAAATGTGTTTGGTGGTCATATACCTATCAGTTTGGCGGATATAAACATGTATTCTATTAAACGAGCCATGAAACCAGAACGTTTGGAATTCAAGTGTTGACACAAATAGATATATTATTATCCCACACTTTTTGTGTAATGTTAATTTCCCATAGGCCTCTGGGAGTTATTTATACCGTTATCGGAAGTGTTACACGTGACTAAGAAATTTGTACTATTACAGGGTAACTGTATTTTATACAGTGTAAAATATTGTCACGTGGTCTATTTTCTAATGAAAATAAAATGAAATCATCATAAATCAAAGCACAGAAAGCGCTGAATTTGTTTTGGTCTCAGAATGTCAGAAAGGTGAAGGTTGTGAGATTATAAACCAATTTGTTTTTGTATAGTGCCACCATTGCTTTCCAGCGTTTTAATTGTAGTAAATTGGCTATAAGACTACTTGCAACACTTATATTCAATCCAATGTTTATTTGAAAAAAAAAATGAGTTGTCTTAACTGAGATTTGACCTCCAGACCTCTCGCTTCCTAAGCGAGCGCGCTAACCCCTCGGCCACGATGAAAATTTATGTTAACGGTCTGAAGAAAACCATATTATTCTAGATTAGGGTTTGTAACGACGCTAACTGTTGTTTAACACTTGTGTGAATAATAATGGCGCTTACTATAAGCATGTATATCTATAAAGAATAAAACAATATTAGAAATCTTCGACCATTCGGGAATTAGTCTGCTTGAATATTAATGCGCCTGTTATTTGACCATCTTTACGCAGTGATCTCCCCTGAATTTTTTCGGCGTTAGTGTACATAATTATAAAGGGAAGTAACCGCTTCAAAAAAGCGGACTACTTTCGGCATTTGCAATTAACAGCATTAGAGTCTGAAATTTCGCTACCATTATTTGTTTGGTCTGACGACCCAAACATGATAAAAATCATCACATCACGTTATTGTTGGGGTAATAAGATAAATAACACATGGGTTTGTGAGTAACAGTAAAAATATCATCACTAGTAAAAAATACTGTTACCCTCGACTAACGCAACGGGTAACAGTATTTTTCTCGGGATGTTATTTTTACTGTTATATATACTGCTATTCCTTTACATAGTGGAACCAAACAAAGTGCATGTTAAGGCCCTGTCACACTAGACTGCGATTCCACTGCGTCTGCACGGCTTTGTTAACTTTAACAAAGCGCCGCGAGATCGGAAGAAATATCTGAAATTTTTGATGACATGGATACTTCATGGCGCCCTCAAGGCGATCATGGCGTTGCTTCAGAGCTTACATGGTGTTGTAATGCGTTCTTACGGCGTTTTAATCTTCGATTGCCTGCGTTCGGACTGCGCTTCTACTGCGTTTTTTGCTCTTCCGCGACGCTTACTTATCGTAAAGCTCAGTAAAAGCGCCGTACACACGCAGTTTAAGCATGGTAGAGACGCCCCACAATCTCCGTAGAAGCGCCGTTCTGCGCTTTCCCTGCGCTTCTGTTGCGTTGTTGGAGATGCTTCTGATGCAGGAGATGCTACGGCGTCCTCACTGCGATCCCACTGCTCTCTTATCAGAACGCACAGTAACGGCGTTTTGTTTTCAGCATGCTCAAAATGCGCGCCGTCGATCGGCGTTCTATGCGATGTAACTGCGATACTTGCGATCTTACTTCGTTCTGAATTTTCTTTGGACGCTTTGAAATTGCTGCCCTTGTGTGACAGGGGTTTTGAACATCAAAATGTTTACCTCCTAGTTTGTAAGCTACTCTATTGTATAAACCAGATTCAGATTGTGGTGGTACGTCCCAGTAACTGTTGACATCATCGATTATGTCATTTGTACCCCACACAACAGCATCGTTGACGTAATATCCGCTGGTGAACCACGTCGAGCGACTATGGGATAGAAGTCTTATCAGATTGTACAGTTTAATATAACATTAAGAAAATAGATGGTGAATATTAACAATCATGTGTGTCTTTTGTATTTTTTCATTCGTCCCTCAGACTAAACTATACGTGCACTGCCAGTGCTAGGGTGAGAAATGTTGCAAGTTCAACTATCAGCCAATTACAAGTTCTGCATGTCTATCATTGTATTTTCTGTTTTGACTTTATTCGAGGTATAACCCTTTTTCCACATATTTAACTACATGTAATCATGTATGCATTAATCGTTAAACAATAAATGATATGTAGATGTACATGCATAGATGAAATATAATGCCAACGAAACATATCTAAGTTTATTGTTTTGTTTTAATACTTACAATAAAATGTCATTATGTTGTAGCCAATCAGCGACAAATGTATGCTCTAGGTAGCTGTTGATTACTATTAGATTGGCACCATACGTCTGTAATATGTTAGCATTTTTAAACAGAAGTCGAGATATATCCCTTATAAATGTAACATTATCACTTGACTTTAATAGCTTGTAGGAGGTACATGTATTTAAATTAAAAACGGTAAGAACAGTTTGTATGATCTAACGTGTCCACTGTCTGAAAAGAGCTAAATATTATTATATATATCTGTGTTTCTAATTACTAGTTTCATAAAAAAAACATTGTTGTTGTTGTCTAAGCTTAATAAGGGTCCATTCGCCCTTTCAGGCACTGAGAGTACGGACCCCGGACACATGGATTTTCGTATTTCGTCAAATGAAATTCATCTTCAATTAAAAAGGTGTATTAAGGATTGCTCGATCATGTTCATAGTTATGATACTAGATACTGAATTATCTCGATTAAATTATACTCGCACTGTCTGTATGATGGTGATTAAAATATGTGACAATCGTTGAATATTTTTGTTGATAGTAAGGAATGGTATTTTGTATATTATCAAAAAATAAGTGCCAAAGTGACCACATTTTGATAAAATTAATCTTTTGATGATAGTAAAGAATCTTGTTGTACAACTTATTTGAGTCGATCCTAAAGTATTGTGGTCAAAAAAATATCAATGAACACAGATGATGAAATATTAAATATGTAAACTTGACAAAAAATCTGATAAATAATATAAAACTATATTGCAAACCTACCCAGCAAAATGAATCGGCCTCTTCTATAATTAATGGATTATTAGAGATGAAATTATAACAATGATCGGAGTTGCTGATCCAGTCGGGTGGACATCCTACAACAATAACAAAACATGTTTATTATATATCTAATGCTACCATGTTAACATAAATAGATTATTATTCTTGATTAATCTTCTTTTTGTGAGTTTGATATACAACAACAACAACAACAAGTTAACAACAACAATATTTATTGAATAATTATAAGCATAGTAATGCCTTTAGCTACAATGTAAAATAACATGCAGTTGGAAATGACACGTTTAATATCATTAGCCATCGAATGTTTTTTCTAAGTGAAGCTTAAAATGTATTTGAGTTAAGTAAATTAAAATTGTAATGAAAAATATAAAATGTCTTAACTATTTCTTTATTTATTTGAAAAGGATATATTGATATTAAAAAAAAACAAAAATACAATGGACATCAGTTTATATAACTTATTAAGATTTGGCCACCTACAAAAAAATATGACTAAGAATTTTTTCCTAATGATATTCATCTTCAACTATATGATCTTGGTTGTAAAATTTACTATTTCAATTAATTCTTTTATCACACACTCTTGCCGCTTTTTCGACTCCGTAAAAATGGTATTGCACGGTCTGCATATATTTTACCGTGACGTCATTTGCGTTATATAAACATAGCGCGTCAATTTTTCGCTATAAACGGTCTTAATTTTGTATATGATGAATAGAATATAAAATTCGTGCAAGTTTAATACTGAATTTTTTAAACTCGCTGAATGAAATAATGTTATGCTCGCCTTTATTCAACGAGTTCAATAAATTCAGTATTAAACTTACACTCATTCAATATTCTATATTTATTTTATAATATCAACTTCTTTCTAGTTTTAAGTTATAGGAAAATAATCTTTAATCCACTAGAAGCAATCCGAAAATTTCTCTCACTTATTGAATATGCTTTCAAAATTAAGAGTGTGAAAATCTGCAGAAATTAAGTTAAGTAAACGTTGTGAATTGTTGATATTTACATGCCATGTTCGATGATAATTATCTATTATCCATTGTTCAACTTCTAAAATGTAAAATTACCATTTTCTTGATTTATATTTGAAAGTCCTAGTTTGTTTAACATAGTTTTTATATGAAAAGCCGAATTAGAATTATTGTATGTAATATTATTGCTAGTATTGTTGTAAGCATGAAATAAACTTGCATTCATACTTAACAAACATTGTAAATAGTTTCCGTAAAACTTTGCATGCATATTCTGTAAAACATGTCTTGTTCTATTCTTATTTGCATTTTTTAAAATCAAATATAAATTGTATGTATCTGCATCATTTTTACTGTTTATATATTTCACTAATAGTATGTCAAGTTAACTTATCGTAAATTTTACTGGTTTAACAGTGCGAATGATTTGTCGCTCGAGTGACAAATTTTCTGTAAGTATCGCTGTCAATTTGTCCACTCCGTTCCGGCCTATTTTTGATAACGAATATTTAACTTGCATAATCAAACTTATCTTTATGGTCACTGCTTTCTGTACTGACTGACTCTTCTATACAGGTTACGCTGACCATTGATTTACAATATAAATAAATGTATAACTCTGTATCATAGAGATAGTCTATATCATCATTTATGTAGACTCTGTAAAGGCACTTATAGCGTAAAATTCTCTTGTTATGAGAATACATATACCTTTGTATTTTGATAATGATATGAACATTTTCTCTGTTTTATTGCATTTTTGGAAAACAAAGACGTGAATGTAGAGGTTTGTTGGAGGCACGGAGCGACATCCACAATTCTAGGGCTTTTATAACGGGATTTAAGATCGTACTTCCTTCCCATGATGCATACGTCTTGCTAGGAAGTTATACAACATCCATAACAAGAAAGTATTTGATATAATTTAGAAAATATGTTCGAAAGGATGAAATTTAATAATTTATAACAAAATGTCACACCAATAAAGTTTCATCAATAATCAATGCTTATAACCATTTCAAATAATTTATGCTATTAACCATTTATTAATATACTATCAGCTTTGTACTAGTCTGAACACTGGACAAATATTATATCTGGAACAAGGCAAACAAAAAAAAAAACGACTAGTACAATAAAAGTGTTCTATTTCTAAAATACACGTAATGTAAAAACCTTGATCACACTAAAAGATTTTAGTCTTATCTTATTTTACTATTTATTTACTATTCATTCTGATATTAAAAGTTTTAGAAATTTTCTTCACAATACTGCTTTAATGTATTGATTACATATTTCTCTTATTATATCTATCAATAACAAGAATTAAATAAAAAATGCATAAAAATGTTAATTTATACATATTTATTTTGATTCTATATTGACCAGGAAATTGTATTGCAACAAGGCCGCAGGATTTCTCTTGAAAAGATTAGTGCATTGTTAATTGACAAATCCGTATCTAAATAACTCTGTGATTTGTTTGGTATTGAAAAAATAATAATTGTCCTCATTTTAATACAATTGCCCCCACAAGCCAATATAATGAACAACATAATAACATGTAGTTGCAAGTAACGAGTCTTAATGTTTATAAAATCATTTTTTTATAGAAAATTTATGTTTGTTGTCTTAGAGTAAAATGTCTTCAAATTAAAGTTAGTCGCTAATTAGTTTCAAGTTTAGCATTGAAATATTATAATTGATATGTTAGTCATGGTTATTCTTTCTGATGAATACCAAACAATAAAACTTGTCATGATGTGAAGGTTAAAGTAAAATTATTTTTTTGCGTTTTAATATGTAATAACAATATTATTTCTTTTTGAATCTGTACCCACCGTTAAATGAAAATTGGCACTGGGTGTGCTCAATAAATAATCCGAATGAACAAAGAATAATTCCAAATCTATACATAACTGAATATTTTAAACAACTGAAACGGTTTCATTGCAGGTAGGTTTTAAGGGTATAAATTTCAATTGCACCAAGAATGCACTGAAGGTGGGTTATATTACTAACGAGAATATGATAAGACGGCCAGCGTCGGTTTTAATCTACAGTGTTATGATCATACCATATTGGTCAGAGATCAAACGAAATCATAGTGATGATAAAACTCACGAGTAGTTTTGAGGAACGGCTTTTTATAGAGGTATTGTGGCGCTCCTGTGCTAGACAGGACTGATTTTAAGAAAATATGAATGCTAGAGGCAATTTATAGTACAAGTAATATCTTGAGTGTTTTAACCTAATATGGGTATGCTGAAGACGATGAGGGTGGATACCAAGAAAATAAAAGGTCAATTTAAAATGGCCACTTAAAAAAACTAAAATAGGTCATTAAAACTATGATACAATATGATGCAATTAATTTATTGTCAAAATCAAATGATTATTCAATATGATCTGATTTTAATGAGATTGACCTCCAAATATAACGATTATAAGCCTAATGGCTCAATTAACAGTTATTTACAGTACTGTTTTACTAGCGCGTTAAGGTACAAGACTAAGATTGAAAAAATCACTTTTTATGTTTTGTTTACTTGACTTATATTTAACAATAAACTTAGTTTCAAATCCTTCTTTATAAATATTACCAAAGAATAAATATTTCGTAATAACAAATTAATATTTCGTAATTACGAAATAATATTTCGTAATAACGAATTAATATTTCGTAATTAAGATCTTATATTTCGTTAAAACGAAATAATATTTCTAATTGGGAATTATTATCTCGTAAAAACGAATTCAATTCCGGGAGAAAGTGTGGAAAATGTCACTTCAGGTGTTCCGTAATTTTCAAAATTATTTGTAGCAATCATTTTTTTAAGTTGTTCATTTTGATTTCATATATTTTGCACTTATTATGGTATTTATGGTTTAAAATTAATATTGAAAGATTATTTTGAAATGTCAAAAATACTATTCCAATGCCATAAACACAACACAAACCGAGACAAAAAGTGTTTTAAAATATATATACTGCACCCCTCCCCCCAAAGAAAAAACAAAAAACAAAACAAAAAACAGTAGGTCTTAAAGGGATATTCAGGCAAAATAATGAAAAAAATATTAAAATGATCTTATGTACTCAAATCACGCTGAAATGTCGTTTCTTATAGTTTCAGCATGAATTTTCTGTTTAAATTCTATATATTTTGTGTTTGAAGCGTAAATATATCTATATAAATTATGTTGAACAAAATTTAGACGCCAAAAGAATCACTGAATACTTTTAAAACAAGTCATGTGACTTGAAAAAAACCCTTGATGTTACAATAACAGATATTGTGGATATTGTACAATTGAAACAAGTCTAAGTCATTCATTTGACATGTACTATAACGTTTCCAGAGTTCACTGTGACAACTATTGTGAAATCCTAGCCCTTTAACCTGACCCACGCAAACAAATATCCTCTATACTCTCCATATTAATTCTAACGAAATCGAAGTGGAATGTAATATTTCAATGAATGCTGTATTGTATTAATAATTGACAGGTAAATAAAATAAGACTATACAAAATAAGCAATTCAGCTGCGTATACAAACAAATAAAATATTGTTGTTCCAACATGCAAAGGCGGGATTAAGTATGCGCAAAATCACCACAAAATCTTTTTAAAGGCGACATGTGACACATAATAAATTTATCTATAAAATAAAAGAAGAAGAAGAAGAAGAAGAAGAAGAACATTTTATTGACTTAAACTACATAGTTTCTCGTCATATACATATACACAAACATAATGTACATAAATCATTATATAAAATAAAAGATGCCACCTTTATTAAGCCTTTTCTCCAGAAACTAACTTAACATAATAATTACATTATTGCACGTATTTAAAAACAATGAAATAAGGCAGTACAAAATTTTAAGAATATAAGCTTGTAATATGTTTATCCTTCTTAAAACATTATCAGGATCAAAAACTTTTTGTAACCTAAATATCTACGACGTTATGCCTCTATCTCAATCTATGAAAGTTGTTTTCTGTCTATATTCTGTACCCCAGGTTTATATATAAAAATGTGTTAATTGGGTGTTGAGCAAACTAGGTAAAAAAATATCCAACTTACAAATTTACAATCCTACTTTTTAAATGGTTACAACAACGTTTCTGTCCCATTCTTTTATAAAATGTGTCACTTGCTGAAATGTTGAAATTAATAAAGAGCACATTGTGAACATTACACATGTATGTTGCATATAAGCTTTTTGTGTGTTGTTTTGAGTGTATTTGTTGTTTTCTGCCCAAAATAATATCTGCATAATTCATTTTTTAGATTCAATTATAAATGCATTAAGGTATACGATGGATAATCGATAATATTAAAAAGTCGTCTTAAACTTAGAAGTGTATACTTTATCACATTCTTAACAAAAATACAGAAAACAACAAATGTTTACCATACGTGTGCTTGCTACACCATGGCAGCTCTCGAAAATTTTGGAATTCAGTCTCGGTTTTGGGAAAATTCTACAAGACGATTATCACATCATTTGATAGACATTACAATTCCGGGTACCCTCCAATAAATTACCAGGATATCTTAAAGTAACAGCAAAATTATCTATAAAATATTACTTGTAATAAATCGAGTAATATTTTCATTGACCATATATAAAAGTCACGTGGGTTGGCTACATAATAGAGGTGTTAAAATATAATTGTAATACACCCTTTGTTAGCCATTGAAATAGTATTTAATGTATAAAAGACTTTCAAAAATGGTTATTATTCAGAGCGGGCGCTATGGTGCAGTGGTAACACTGTCTGCCTTCAAATCAAGGGGTCGTGAGTTCGATCCCCCGCTACTCCACTGAACGAATAAATGACTACAAGACTGACAAAACCAGGACATCAACACAGAATGACGGCAAGAGAAGACCTTAACGGAACAGGAAACAAGTACCGAAAGTACAAGACTGAAGACAGCGACCGATAACAGAATGAAGAATGGAGACAAGAACTGACAACAAGCGAACAGAGACAGGGGCCGATAACAGAAGAACTGACAACAAGAGAACAGAGACGTCAACCAATAACAGAAGAACAGACACAGGGACCAATAATAGAACTGACAACAAGCGAACAGAGACAGGGACCGATAACAAAAGGACTGACAACAAGAGAACAGGACGTCGATTAATAACAACTGATAACAGAATAACATCGACGGAGACTAATTCCAGACGAAGATCGATAACAGAGACAGAAGAATTGACAACAAGAAAACGAGACCAAGACTGCTTACAGAGGAATAGAGACGAGAACCGATGACAAAAAACGTAGACGAAGACGAGAACAAATAACAGGAGAACAAAGACGACGACCGATAACAAAGACGAGAAATCGGAACATCTGACAAAAGAACTGCGACGAGGACTGATAACAGAAGAACGAAGACCAGAACCCAGGAGAAAGGTGCCTTTAATTAATGTGTATTCTGCATGCACACATACGCATGTAAGTAGGAATCTGAGTAGCCACTCTATATGCTTGCATAGAGTGCCAGATAAAAAACATGAAAGCTCTATAGCTCAGATAGGGCAGGGAAGAAAGTGTTATGTTTTAATGCCTTAAAATTTTCAGCACTATCTTAAATTAATTTGTATCATAGTTTGGGGACCTTTCTGTTGAAAAAGTGTCAGAGTTAAATCGTATACATATACATGCACAGTGCAGGTATCAGTTACCCGCACTCCAGATCATGCCCGTTGATAGGCTCATTTTTGCTGGGGCTTACAGATTGTGACGGCAGAGAAAGGGAAAGCGGCAGAAATATCATATTCAGATGCTCGATCATTGGTTACTTTTTCCCGGGGTTTAAAATTGTGACAACAGGGAACGTGTTTTTATGTTTGACTATGATACAAAAGAGAAAGAACACCAAAACACTCGGCAATCTGATCAGATAGCCTCGTGTTTCGGTGCTCTTTCTATTACATATATAACTTCTATATTACTATTATATTGGCCTATAGAAAAATGTCCGCCATCTTGGATTATTCGGCCATATTGGATTTTTTGTTGTTGTTTTTTTTAATTCTGTTTTGTTGTCTAATTTGTTTTTACCTAAACATGGTTTGTGACAAATTTCAGGCTTTTCCTTTCCTTAAAAGTTTTATTTCATATATTATCCATTTATGATAAAGAAATTTGGCGGCCATTTAAGTGGTCATTTTAAATGGCCATTTCAATGGTAAAGATCAAGTTTTTCAATTCGGTATCCTCAGCATACCTTAAGTAGGTAAAATACACCAAGACACCACTTGTACTATAAAATGCCTCTAGCATCTTATAGGGAGCCAAATTCTCAAAATCAGTCCTGTCTAGTAAATATACTTGTAAACGAATTTTTCAAACTCATTTCGGGCTACCTCACCGATCGTCGATAATCCGAAGTATGACGGAAAGGCACGAAAAGTTGCAATGGTCATTACCTCGTGACAGTACGGAATATTTCTTGACGTCATATACTAGTATGTCATGAAATAAGCGCCGCAATGACTAAGGATTACAAAAAAGATCACTATTACAGTCATGAGTAAAATCAAAGTGCTGAAAGCACTGGGTGCGACGGACATGAAAAGGGAATTGCATAAATGCTGTCAAAAAAGGACCAATGTTTTTTTTATTATTTACAAAGGGCAGCAAAATTCTATGCCTGAGTTTTATGGAGCTTGGATAGAAACTAAAGACATGTAAAGGTTTCATATGAATATCTTCTGTTTTCTGAAAACTGATGTAATATGTTTAAATGAATACCACAAGTATATATTTGTTGTCCTAAACATTGATTTTCTTGCAAAGTTTAAAAATTAAGATTTTTCTACCCTAAAAAAAGACTATTACTCTGTTAAAATGATTGTTAGATTTATGGGGTTCAGAGAGTAACCTCCATTTATAATCCTGAAAACATATACAAAAAAATAGAAAGAACTAAGCAAGATTCAAAATTGGTTCAAAATTGTCAATTTGTTC